TCCAGCCTGGACAACAGAGGGAAATTCCATCTCAAAAAAAAAAAAAAAAAAAAAAAAAAAGAGGAAAGTGAAACAGCCTTATTGCTGATATGGAGAAAGTTTTAGTGGTCTGAAAGACCAAAACAGCCATAACAGCCCTAAATCTCTTCATTGCTATGAAGACTTAGAGAGACGAGGAAGTTGCAGAAGAAAAATTTGAAGTTAGCAGAGGCTAGTTCATGAGGTTTAAGGAAATAAGCCATCTACAGAACATAAAAGTGGAAGATGAAGCAGCAAGTGCTGTGTAGAAGCTGCAGCAAGTTATCCAGAAGATCTGGCTAAGATACCTGATGAAACTGGCTTACGAAACAACAGATTTCCAATGTAGACAATACAGCCTTCTATTGGAAGAAGATGCCATCAAGGACTTTCATAGCTAGAAAGGAGAAGTCAATGCCTGGCTTCAAAGCTTTGAAGGACAGGCTGACTCTCTTGTAGGGACTAATGCAGCTTGTGACTTTAAGTTGAAGCCAATGCTCATTAACCATTCTGAAAATCCTAGGATCCTGAAGAATTCTGCTAACTCCATTCTGCCTGTGCCCTATTAATGGAACAAGAAAGCCTGAACGGCCACATGTCTGTTTATGGCATGGTTCATGGAATATTTTAAGTCTACTGTTGAGACCTACTGCTCAGAAAGAAATTCTGTTCAAAAGATTATGACAGTTTTTCTGGTCACTCAAGAGCTCTAATGGAGATGTACAAGTAAATTAATATTGTTTTCATGCCTACTAACACAATATCTGTTCTTCAGCCCATGAGACTGAGTAATTTCAATTTTCAAGTTTTCCTGCAGTTGACTCTTGAACATTGTGGGGGTTAGGGATGCCAAGCCTAACACAGTTGAAAATCCATGTATAACTCTTTTTTTTTGGTAGAGGTAGGGTCTTAATATGTTGCCTGGGCTGGTCTTGTACTCCTGGCCTAAAGCAGTCCTCCCACCTCAGCCTCTCAAAGTACTAGGATTATATGTATGATCCACCACACCCAGCCTCATATAACTTTTTTTTATATGAGTCTTGCTCTGTCACCCAGGCTAGAGTGCAATGGCTCTATCTCAGCTCACTGCAACCTCCACCTCCTAGGTTGAAGTGATTCTCCTGTTCCAGCCTCCTGAATAGCTGGGTTTACAGGTGCACATCACCACATCTGGCTAATTTTTGTATTTTTAGTGGAGACGGGGTTTCACCATGTTGGCAAGGCTAGTCTTGAACTCCTGACTTCAAGTGATCTGCCCACCTCCACCTTTCAAAGTGCTGGGATTACAGGCAGGAGCCACTGTGCCTGGCCTTGGCCTCATATAACTTTTGACTGCCCCCAAACTTAACTACTAATAGCCTAATGTTAATCAGAAGCCTTGCCGATAACACAAACAGTCAGTTAACACATATTCTGCCTGTTATTTTTATTTATTTATTTTTTTGAGATGGCATCTCACTCTGTCACCCAGGCTAGAGTGCAGTGGCTCGATTTTGGCTCACTGCAATCTCCGCCTCCCGGGTTCAAGCGATTCTTCTTCTGCCTCAGCCTCCTGAGTACCTAGGACTACATGCGCATGCCACCACACCCGACTAATGTTTTTATTTTTAGTAGAGACAGGGTTTCACCATATTGGCCAAGCTGTTGTCAAACTCCTGACCTCATGATCTGCCCTCCTCAGCCTCCCAAAGTACTGAGATTACAGGCATGAGCCACCGCGCCTGGCATTCTGCATGTTATATATATTATATATTTAGTCTTACTACAAAGTAAACTAGAGAAAAGAAAATGTTATTAGGAAAATCATAGGAAGAGAAAATATATTTACAGAGCTGTACTGTATTATGAATACCATAGTTTACATCATATGTTTATAAGATGAAAATCATCTGTCTGAAATGGTGGGCAGCCGCAGCTGCAGACCTCAATCCACATTACATATCAAGCAGTTCAACTTTTTCTTGTAATGTCATGACTTTTCCCTGCTTCTTGGAAGCACTTCCAGCGTTACCAGTGGCACTTCACATGGGTCCCATGGTGTTATACGAGGCTTACAGTATTGCATTAAACAGAATGAAGAACACATAAGAACCACAAGATATCACTTTTTACTGTGATACATAATTCACTGGAGAGATAAACTGCTCATGTGGAGATGATAAGCATCAGGTGGCATTTTAAAATATTTTTTCTGCTGCACTTTAACAAATTCTTTAATTTTTTTATTTTAAATTGTTATGGGTGTACTAGTCCATTTTTATACTGCTATGATGAATTATGCAAGACTGGGTAATTTATAAAGAAAAAGAGATTTAATAGACTCAAAGTTCCACATGGCTGGGGAGACCTCACGATCATGGTGGAAGGCGAAGGAGCCAAGATACATGTTACATAGCAGTAGGCAGAAGAGCTTGTGCAGGGGAACTGCCCTTTATAAAACCATCAGATCTCGTGAGACTTATTCACTATCATGAGAACAGCCGGGACCATCTTGGTTCACTGCAAACTCTACCTCCCAGGTTCAAGAGATTCTTATGCCTCAGCCTCCTGAGTAGCAGGGATTACAGGTGCCTGGTACCATGCCTGGCTAGTTTTTGTATTTTTAGTAGAGATGGGGTTTCACCATGTTGGCCAGGATGGTCTTGAACTCCTGACCTCAGGTGATGGGCCCACCTTGGCCTCCTAAAGTGTTGGGATTAGAGGCATGAGCCAAATTTTTTCATGAGTAACAAAAGACAATAGAGAGTCAAAGGTAACAGGATGAAGATAAGGAAGATCAGGCAAAGAAAACCTTAGTTGAAGAGGACATTAAAGACAATAACAGGCAAATGAACAACAGAACAAAGAGTAGGAAAATGGATAATGCACAGCCATAGAAATGAAGGAAACCATGTCCTTTGCAGCAACATGGATGCAGCTGGAGGCCATTATCCTAAGTGAATTAACACAGAAACAGAAGCCCTAATGTCATATGTTCTCACTTGTAAGTAGGAGCTGAACATTGGGTACACACGGACATAAAGATGAGAACAATAGATGCTGGGGACTGCAGAGGGGAGGGAGGGAGAGAGGAGAAAGGGCTGAAAAACGGCCTATTGTTTTCTACTTGGTCGATGTGATCAACAGAAGCCCAATCCTTAGCATCATGCAACATGCCCTGGTAACCCCTTTATCTAAAATTAAACTAAATTGAAAAAAAAAATAAGGGCCAGGTGTGGTGGCTCACATCTGTGATCCCAGCACTTTGGAAGGCTGAGGCAGGAAAATTGCTTGAGGCCAGGAGTTCAAGACCAGCCCAGGCAATACAGCAAGACCCTGTCTCTTGTTTTTTTGGTTGTTTTATTTTATTTCTCTTTTTTTTTGACCCTGTCTCTCAAAAAAAATTTTTTAATGGGTTAGGTGTGGTGATGTGTGCCTGTAGTTCTAACTACTCAGGAGGCTGAGATGGGAGAAAATCGCTTGAGCCCAGGAGGTTGAAGCTACAGAGAGCTATGATCACCACTGACTCCAAACTGGGTGACAGAGTGAAATGAGCTCATTGCCCACTCTCCCCCTGCCAAAAAAAAAAAAGAAAAAAAAATAAAGCAGAAGAAAAAACGTACTGAATAATCAAATAACTAATCTTGTTCTGTTGTATTCTGCAAGAGGTGACATATGTCTTTTCATTTGGGAAATGTGAATCCAAGAATCAACAAATAAGTTTTATTATTGTGTCAGTTACCTGTTTTTCTTTGTTTTGTTTTGTTTTGTTTTTGAGATAGGATATAATACTCTTGGCCAGGCTGGAGTACAGTGGTGCAATCATGACTTACTGCAGCCTCAACTTCCCAGGCTCAGGTGATTCTCCCACCTCAGCCCCCTTGAGCAGCTAGGACTACAGGCACAAGCCACCATGCCAGCTAATTTTTTGTATTTTTTTGTAGAGATGGGGTTTCACCATGTTGCCCAGGCTGGTCTCAAATCCCAGGTTCAAGCAATCCTCCCACCTCAGCCTCCCAAAATGCTGGGATTATGTGCATGAGCCACAACACCCAGCCTCCCAACTTTGTTTTAAGACTTTCTTTTAGGTGTGTTCTTGGTGGCCCTTAACAGAAGGACATTGACAATGGAATCTGGATTTCTGTTTGCTTGTTTGTTTGTTTTAGATGCCAGGTCTCCCTCTGTCACCCAGGCTGGAGTGCAGTGGCATGATCTCAGCTCACTGCAACCTCCGCCTCTCAGGTTCAAGTGATTCTTTTGCCTCAGCCTCCTGAGTAGCTAGGATTACAGGCACCCACCACCATGCCTGGCTAATTTTTGTATTTTTAGTAGAGACAGGGTTTCACCATGTTGCCCAGGCTGGTTTTGACCTCCTGGCCTCAGGTGATCCACCCACCTTGGCCTCCCGAAGTGCTGGGATTACGGGCATGAACCACTGCACCCAGCCTGGATTTTTTTTTTCAATGAAAGATATTTATTCTTAAAAAGTTGACTCAAAACAAGTTTTAAACACTCTGCGTCCATTTCATGTTGCTATCACAGAATATCACAGTCTGCGTGATTTAGAAACAATAGACATATATTTGGCTTACAGTTCTGGAGGCTGTGAAGTTTAAGATACCAGAGCTGCCTTTGGTGAGACATCATCACATGCCAAGATAGCATGAGAGAGAGGAAGAGGGGGCTAAACTTGCTTTTATAACAAACCCATTCCTGCAGTAATGGCATTAATCCATTGACCTAATCGCCTCTTAACGATCCCACCTCTCAACAGTGTTACCTCAGGGATTAACTCTCCAATGCATGAGCTTTGTGGGACTCATTCAAACCACAGTACTCTGAAATCAGATAAATAGGTCTATGGGTGAGATTCCAGCTGAGGGTTGCCAATTTGCAGACTTTCAGTTGAATGGTCTCCCTTCTGGATGTCAAAGTTAATACTGCTATGAACAGCTATTATGCACCTAAGTTGAACCAGGAAGAGAACACATCCTTCTGCATGTACAATATTTTATTTAATATTCTTTTCTACTAACTCATTCAGAGCTCTCTGGACTGTCTTCATGCTGTGTCATTTGCAAGGTTGCCTGCTGCATGTTTGGTTATAAATGAGGTCAAATCCCAATTTTGCAGGAGGATGTGGATGTATGCCCATTCCCTTCGCGCTGTGAGCCAGTAGCCATGGGAACTGCGATAAAGTACACAATTACTCCTCCATGAACAAATCCTCAGGGAACAAAGTTCATTTGAATGAAGCTGGCTTGACCACAGATGAATCTGGGGGACTTTCTGAGCTTCTTGGCCTTTTGCCGCCTCCTTACTTTAAGCTGGCTCTGGAGGAAGAGGAAGTGGAGGTGTCCCAGGTATGGACCTTTTTCTGGGAGCTAGGACTTGGACCAGGCAAAGAAAGGAGGCAGTGGGGAGAATTCCCCCAGAGAAGGCAGGAGTAGGTCCTGGATACCAGATCCGCAGGTCTCTGAGGGCTTTCCTAGTTTTGGGAGTGTGTGGATTGAGCCTAAAGTCTAGCAGGAATTCCGGCATCACCCAGGACGTTGGCTGGAATATCTTTAAGGACCCTTCCAGACCGAGAATCATAGCAGCACAGGACCCAATTGTATGATGGCTGCTTTGGCCTGTGAAGATGGAAAGACCAGGAAAAGCTTTAGGCTAAGTGATGGAGTTCACACCCCACTAATTCACCTCCCTTTCTGCATCCCTGACATTTCCCACACAATATGTCCTTCACTCTGTTCTCCAAAATGCCCAGGGCCATTGCCTTCCTCTAACTGCCTGAGATGAGCCCTGGAAACCCTGTTGCCTACCAGACCCCTGACTTTCCTCTTCTCTGCTCTGTGGGCCAAGGCCTTGGCTGGCCTGTCTGACAATACAGTTTCCCTAGGACTAGTGCTAGGCCTGGCATCCTAGAATCCCTGACAGGTGCTAGCCCCTGGAGTCAGGACAGTCTTTCTATGCCCCCGTGCTTGTAGCATCACAGTGGGCCTTGCTGCAGAACAAACTGATTACTTGTAACTGCCATTCTGAATATAGTCACTTTCAGGAATCGCTGGCAACCTGTGACATGCTAGATGGTAATCTAGCATGGTACCACAGCACCTGGCCCAGCATTTTGGGAGGCTGAAGTGGGAGGATTGCTTGAGGGCAGGAGTTTGAGACCAGCCTGGGCAACAACCCCATCTCTACGAAACATTAAAAAATTAGCCAGGTGTGGCGGCACATGCCTGTAGTCCTAGCTACTTGGGAGGCTGAGGCGGGAGGACTACTTGAGCCCAGGAGGCTGCAGTGAGCTACGATTGCACGACTGCACTCCAGCCTGAGTGACAGAGAGAGATTCTGTCTATAAATCAACAAGTAAATAACAAAGGAGATGGTTTTTCTACAAAAGAGTTAACATGCAGGGTGCTATGCACTGTAAGGGGTGAAGACTTACAGAGGTTCAGTGGGAATGAGAGCTAAATCCTGAGAGTGGGGGAAGGCATTACAGAGGCTATGATCTTTGAGACTGGTCTTGAAGAAAAAGAAAATGTGTACAAGGCAGAAAGAAGGGAGAAAGTTCCCCAAAGAGAAAACTGCACCAGCCAAAAATATGGAGGTGTGGAGTAGGTAGAATTGTGAGACATTTATGTGACTGGAGTAAAAAATGAGAGATGATGCTGGAAAGGAGCGTTAAGGACAGGTTTTGAAGGCTCTCTTAAAAATAATAGGCCAGGCATAGTGGCTCACACCTGTGATCCCAGCACTTTGGGAGGCTGAGGCTGGCAGATCACTTGGGGTCAGGAGTTCAAGACCAGCCTAGCCAACATGGCAAAACCCCGTCTCTACTAAAAATACAAAAATGAACTGGACGTGGTGGTGTGCGCCTGTAGTCCCGGCTACTAGGGAGGCTGAGGCATGAGAATCACTTGAACCTGGGAGGCGAAGGTTGCAGTGAGCAGAGATTGTGCCACTGCACTCCAGCCTGGGTGATACAGTAAGACTCTGTCTCAAAAAATTAATAATAATAATAATACATTAATTTTGAGACAGGATCTTGCTCTGTCACCCACGCTGGAGTGCAGTGGTGTAATCACAGTTCACTGCAGCCTCAAGCTCCTAGGCTTAAGTGATCCTCCTGCCTCAGCCCCCTAAGTTGCTGGGACTACAGCTGTGTGCCACTGACAGAGCAGGAGCACCATTATCTTGGACAAGCACCACCACTTTGTTTGTTTGAGATGGAGTCTCGCTCTGTCACCTAGGCTGGTGTGTAACGGCATGATCTTAACTCATGCAGCCTCCGCCTCCTGGGTGTGAGAAGTAGAAAATTTCCTTTTTAAAGTTTCCTTTCTTGTTAAAGAATAAGTGTGCTGATAACTTTGTTAAGCCCTATTCTATGCAGCTGTTAGACATGCCATGCTTACAGGCACGTAGTACTTTAACCAAGTACTATGCCCTTGTACTTTAACCAAGATATCTGTGCTGGACTGCTCATAGGCATGTCCCAGCCCTCCATTGCTTTTACTGTTTAGAAAAGTTTTAAGTTGTTAGCCAATCGGGTTTTAGTTTAGATTGTGAGGTCTGGCTCCAGCCAACGGAGATCAGACACAGCAGTAAGGATGACCCCAAATGTGTAAAGGATAAGTTTGTGTGTTTTCCTTTGTTCATTGTACTCTCATGGCATGATGGCTAGCGAGGGTACCCTTCCTGCAGTCCAGGAAGTAAAAATTGTGTTGCTGAAAAATCCTTTGTTTCAGTGCTAATTTTTCTTTGTGGCACTGAGCAACTATTTCCAACATGGGTTCAAGCGATTCTCCTGCCTCAGCCTCCCAAGTAGCTGGGACCACAGGCATGTGCCACCACACCTGGCTAATTTTTTGTATTTTTAGTAGAGACATGGCTTCACCGTCTTAGCCAGGCTGGTCTGGATCTCCTGACCACGTGATCTGCCCGCCCCAGCCTCCCAAAGTGCTGGGATTACTGGCACAAGCCACCACACCTGACTGGAGGATCATATCTGTTTCAAAAGGTGGAACTTTCTGCTGGAGGCAGCAGAGGTCTTCAGGCAGAGCAGCTGAGTCTTGAGGTTGCTCTTTTCGGAAACAAACTCAGTAGGCGTTGTGGAGGATGCATTGAATGGAAGAGAAAGTGGAGGCAGCGAGGAGACGCTGCTGAGTCCTGATGAGAGACAAAGAAAGCCTGAAGGAAGCAATGGCAGCAGGAATGGAGAGGCGGGGAAGGCTTCAGGAAGACTGTGTGATGCACGGATTGCGTGGGATAAGGGCAGAGGGTGGAGTCCAGGCTGACTCACAGGTATCTTGCTTGGGAGACTGGGTAGATGATCACACTGTTACCTGAGATGAAGATACAGTAAGAGGAGTTTATATTTAGAAAAAGTAGGCCTGGTGCAGTGGCTCATGCCCATAATCCCAGCAATTTGGGAGGCTGAGATGTGTGAATCACCTGAGCCCAGGAGTTCCAGAACAGCCTGAGCAACATATCAAAATCTCATCTCTGCTAAAATTCAAAACAATTAGCCAGGCGTGGTGGTGCAAGCCTGTAGTCCCAGCTACTTGGGAAGCTGAGGTGGGAGAACCACCTGGGCCCAGGAGGTCGAGGCTGCAGTGAGTCTTGATCACGCTACTGCACTCCAGCTTGGGTTACAGAGCAAGACCCTGTCTCAAAAGGAAAAAATAGAAAAAATAATAAGCTCAGTTTTAAAAAAGAAATTGTAGTAAAATACATACAACATAAAATTTAGCATTTTAACCAGTTTTGAGTGTACAATTTAGTGGCATTAAGTACATTCACAATGTTAGCAAGCATCACCTTGATCTACCTCCAAAATATTCTCATCACCCCAAAGGAAACCCTGAACCCATTAGGCAGTGATTCCCTATTCCCCTGTCCACCCAGCCCCTGGCAGTCCCTAATCTACCTGTAGATTTGCCTATTCTGGACATTTCATATGAGTGGAATCATACAATATGTGACTATAGTTTATGTCTGGCCACTTTCACTTAGCACAATGTTTTCAAGGTTCATCCATGTTGTAGCATATATCAGAATTCTTTTTTTTTGAGACAGAGTCTCATTCGATCACCCAATCTGGAGTGCAGTGGTGCATCTTGGCTCACTGCAACCTCTGCCTCCTAGGTTCAAGTGATTCTCCTGTCTCCCAAGTAGCTGGGATTACAGGTGCCTGCCACCACACCTGGCAGATTTTTGTATTTTTAGTAGAGACAAGGTTTCACAATGTTGGCCAGGCTGGTCTTGAACTTCTGACCTCAAGTGATCTGCCTGTCTTGGCTTCCCAAAGTGCTGAGATTACAGGTGTAAGCCACGGCGCCCAGCCAGAGTTATATATCAGGTACAAGTACATTATCAGATGTAGGATTTGCAAATACTTTCTCCCATTCTGTGAGTTGTCTTTTCACTTTGTGGCTGGTATTCCTCAAAGCACAAAACTTTTTATTTCGATGAAGTCCCATTTATCTATTTTTACTTTTGTTACCTGTGCTTCTGGTATCATATCTAAAAATCATTGCCAATACAATATAATGAATATTTTCCCTATGTTTTCTTCTAGGATTTTTATGGTTTTTGCACTTAAATTTAGATCTTTGATCCATTTGAGTTAATTTTCGTATGTGAGTTAAGCTTTCTATGTGGGGTACAGAAAAGGTCTAACCTCATTATTTTGCATTTCCCACCACCCCCCCACCCTGGACCACCAACATTTGTCAAAAATACGAATCCTTTCTCCACTGAATGGTCTAAACAACCTTGCTGAAAATCAATTAACCATATGTGTGAGGGTTTACTTCTGGGTTTTCTATTCAACTCCATTTGTTTATCTACCTACCCTTAGGTCAGTATCACACTAGGTTTTTTGTTTGTTGGTTTGTTTGTTTTTAAATTTCTCATTTTTAATTTTGTAGGTACATGATAGGCATATATACTTACGGGTACTCGAGATACTTTTGATATAGGCATGCAACTTATAATCACATCATGGTAAATGGGGTATCCAACTCCTCAAGCATTTATCCTTTGTCTTACAAATAATTCACTTATATTCTTTCAGTTCTTTTAAAATATATAATTAAATTATTATTGACTGGCCCAGCTTGGTGGCTCATGCTGTAATCCCAGCACTTTGGGAGACCGAGATGGGCAAATTATTTGAGGCCAGGAGTTCAAGACCAACCTGGCCCACATGGCAAAACTCCATCTGTACTAAAAAAACAAACAAACAAAAAAACAACAAAAAAAGAATTAACCAGGCATGGGGGTGCATGCCTGTAGTCCCAGAGTCCCAGCTACTTGGGAGGCTGAGGCAGGAGAATTGCTTGAACTAGGGAGGCAGAGATTGCATCGAGCCAAGATTGAGCCACTGTGCTCCAGCCTGGGTGACAGACCTAGACTCTGTCTCAAAAAAAAAAAAAAAAAAAAGAATAATCATATGGCTAAAAAAAATAGTTATATAAAATATATAAAATAACTTACATGTTATAAGTGAGATGACCTGCACTCCCTAGGGATATGTGTCCATTATTTCCACCATTAGAATGAATTAAGGTGCTTGGCATGACTGTCCCATTTATTAGTTCTTAATTTTTAATTTTTTGAGTCGGAGTTCCGCTCTTGTTACCCAGGCTGGAGTGCAATGGCGCAATCTCAGCTCACCCCAACCTCCACCTCCTGGGTTCAGGCAATTCTCCTGCCTCAGCCTCCTGAGTAGCTGGGATTACAGGCACGTGTCACCATGCCCAGCTAATTTTTTGTATTTTTAGTAGAGACAGGGTTTCACCATGTGGACTAGGATGGTCTTGATCTCTTGACCTTGTGATCCACCCGCCTCGGCCTCCCAAAGTGCTGGGATTACAGGCTTGAGCAACCATGCCCGGCCAATTTTTAATTTTTAAAAAAATTTTTTCTTTTTTTTTTTGAGACCGAGTCTTGTTCTGTTGCCCAGCTGAAGTGCAGTGGTGGGATCTTGGCTCACTGCAAGATCTGCCTCTTGGGTTCAAATGATTCTCCTGCCTCAGTTTCCTGAGTGGCTAGGATTACAGGCATATGCCATTATGCCCAGCTAATTTTTTGTATTTTTAGTAGAGACAGGGTTTCACCATGTTGGTCAGGCTGATCTCAAACTTCTGACCTTGTGATCCACCCCCCTCGACCTCCCAAAGTGCTGGGATTAGAAGCATGAGTCACTGCTCATGCCTGTTTATTAGTTCTAATAGGTTTTTGGTGGAGTCTGTTTTTCCAAATATAAGATCCTGTCATCTGCAAAGAAGAATAATTTTTGCTTCTTCCTTTCCGATTTAGATGCCCTTTGTTTCTTTCTCTTGTCTAATTGTTCTAGCTGTGGCTTCCAGTACCATGTTGAGTAACAGTGGGCATCCTTGTTGTGTTCCATATCTTAGAGGAAAGCCTTTCAGGTTTTCCCCACTCAGTATGATATTAGCAGTGGGTCTGTCATGTACGGCTTTTATGATGTTGAGGTATGTTTCCTCTATATCCAGTTTTAGGGTTTTTTTGTTTGTTTTTTTGAGACAGGGTTTCAACATGTTGGCCAGGATGGTCTTGATCTCTTAACCTCGTGATTCGCCCGCCTCAGCCTCCCAAAGTGCTGGGATTACAGGCGTGAGCCACTGCACCTGGCTAGGGTTTTTATTATAAAGTGGTGTGGAATTTTACCAAATGCTTTTTCAGCATCAATTGAAATGATTATACGGCTTTTGTCTTTCATTCTGTTGTTATGATGTATCACATTAATTGATTTGTGTATGTTGAAGCATCCTTGTATCCCTGGAAGAAATTCCACTTTGTCATGAAGTTATGATGACTTTTTTTTTTTTTGAGACAAAGTCTCCCTCCGTCACCCAGCCTAGACAGCAGTGGCACAATCTTAGCTCACTACAGCCTCTGCCTCCTGGGTTCAAGTTATTCTCCTGCCTCAGCCTCCTGAGAAGCTGGGACTACAGGCACGTGCCACCACATCCAGCTAATTTTTTTATTTGTAGAGTCAACATTTTTCTAGGTTACCCAGGCAAAATGGGTAACATTTTGAACTCCTGGGTTAAAGTGATCTTCCTGCCTCAGCCTACCAAAATGTTGGGATTATAGGTATGAGCTACCATGCCCAGCCAAATACTCTCTTATTACCTATTATTTTAAACTGATGAAAACTTAACACTGGTTGCATAAACAAACAAGCAAAATGAAAACTCTTGCTTTTTCTTTTTCTTTCTTTCTTTTTTTTTTTTTTTGAGACAGAGTCTTGCTCTGTCACCCAGGCTGGAGTGGTGTGGTGGCATGACCTTGGCTCACTGCAACTTCTGCCTTCCTGGGTTCCAGCAATTCTCCTGCCTCAGCCTCCCCAGTAGTGCACCATCACACTCAGTTAATTTTTGTATTTTTAGTAGAGACAAGGTTCACCATATTGGTCAGCCTAATCTTGAACCCCTGACCTTGTGATCTGCCTCCCTTGTCCTCCCAAAGTACTGGCATTACAGGCAAGAGCCACCTCGCCTGGATCCCACCGCTTTTTGACTTTGTTTCTCTTTATGTCTTATTGTACTATATATTGAAGTGTTGTTGTAGTTATTATTTTTTCTTGGTTTATTGTTTAGCTTTTCTACTTAAGTAGTTGGCTGGGTGCGGTGGCTCACATCTGTACTCGTCGCACTTTGGGAGGCTGAGGCAGGCGGATCACCTGAGGTCTGGAGTTCAAGACCAGCCTGACCAACACGGAGAAACACTGTCACTACTAAAAATACAAAATTAGCCAGGCGTGGTGGTGCATACCTGTAATCCCAGCTACTCGGAAGGCTTAGGAGGGAGAATCACTTGAACCCGGAAGGCAGAGGTTGTGGTGAGCCAAGATCGTGCCATTGCACTCCAGCCTGGGCAATAAGAGTTAAACTGTCTTTCTTTTTTTTTTTTTTTTTTCCTTTTTGTGGAGAACGGGGTCTTGCTATATTGCCCAGGCAGGTCTCGAACTCCTGGGCTCAAGCTATCCTCCTGCCTCTGCCTCCCTAAGAGCTGGGATTAGAGGCATGAGCCACAGTACCCGGCCTGGAAGTTACACTTATTTATTTATTTTTTTTGGTCTTTTTTTGTTGTGAAACTGTCTCAAAAAAAAAAAAAAAAGAAAAAAAAGATAAGAGTACTGTATACACCAAAATGACAGTGTTATAATAGCCTGTATTTTTCCATGCGCTTACTATTACCAGTGAATTTTGTACCTTCAAATGATTTCTTACTGCTCCTTTCCTTTCAAATTGAAGAACTCCCCTTAGCATTTCTTGTAGGACAGGTCTGTGTTGATGAAATCCTTCAGCTTTTGTTTGTCTGGGAAAGTCTTTATTTCTTCTTCATGTTTGAAGAACATTTTTATTTTGTTTTTTTGAGATGGAGGGTCGCTCTTGTTACCCAGGCTGGAGTGCAATGGCGGGATCTTGGCTCACCGCACCTCCGCCTCCTGGGTTCAGGCAATTCTCTTGCCTCAGCCTCCTGAGTAGCTGGGATTACAGGCCTGCGCCACCATGCCCAGCTAATTTTTTGTATTTTTAGTAGAGACGGGGTTTCACCATGTTGACCAGGATGGTCTCGATCTCTAGACCTCGTGATCCACCCACCTCGGCCTCCCAAAGTGCTGGGATTACAGGCTTGAGCCACCGCGCCTGGCCTTGAAGAACATTTTTACCAGACATATTATTCTAGGGTAAATTTTTTTTCCTTTAGCACCCTAAATATGTCATGCCATTCTTTCCTGGCCTGTAAGGTTTTCACTTAAAAGCCTACTGCCAGACATGTTTTAGAACTCCATTGTATGTTTTTGTTGTTGTTGTTTTTATTTTTTTTTTTTGAGATAGAGTCTTGCTCTGTCACCCAGATTAGAGTGCAGTGGTGTGATCTCAGCTTACTGCAACCTCTACCTCCCAGGTTCAAGTAATTCTCCTGCCTCAGCCTCCCGAGTAGCTGGGACTATAGATGTGCACCACCTTGCCTGGCTAATTTTTTCCTATTTTTAGTAGAGACAGGGTTTCACCATGTTGGTCAGGCCAGTCTCAAACTTCTGACCTCAAATGATCTGCCTGCTTTGGCCTCCCAAAGTGCTGGGAGTCAGGCAGTGGCATAAGGCACTGTGCCCAGCCTCCACTGTATATTATTTGGTTCTTTTCTCTTGCTGCTTTTAGGATCCTTTATCCTTGACCTTTGAGAGTTTGATTATTATTGAGGTAGTCTTCTTTGGGCTAAATCTGCTTGGTGTTCTATAACCTTGTTCTTGAATGTTGATATTTTTCTCTAGGTTTTAGAAGTTCTATTATTATTCCTTGAATAAACTTTCTACCCCTATATCTTTCTCTACTTCCTCTAGTAAGGCTAATAACACTTAGATTTGCCCTTTAGAGGCTATTTTCTAGATCTTGTGGGTGTTTTAAAAATTATTTTCTATTCTTTTTTCTTCTGTCTCTTCTGCCTATGTGTTTTTTTTTTTTAAATAAAGATGGGGTTTCACCATGTTGGCCAGGCTGGTCTCGAACTCCTGACCTCAAGTGATCTGCCCACCTCAGCCTCTCAAAGTGCTAGGATTACAGGCATGAGCCACCACGCCTGGCCTATGTGTTTTCAAATAGCCTCTCTTCAAGCTCACTAATTCTTTCTTCTGCTTCATCAATTCTGCTATTAAGGAACTTTAATGCATTCTTTAGTATGTCATGTCAATTACATTTTCAACTCCAGAATTTCTGCTTATTTTTAGTTATTTCAATCTCTTTGTTAAATTTATCTTATAGAATTCTGAGTTCCTTCTCTGTGTTATTGTGAATTTCTTCGTTTCCTCAAAACATCTTTTTTGAATTTTCTGTCTGAAAGGTCACATCTGTGTTTCTCCAGGATTAGTCCCAGGTGCCTGATTTGGTTCATTTGGTGGCATCATGTCTTCCTGGATGGTCTTGATGCTTGTGGATGTTCATCGGTGTCTGCACATAGAAGAGTTTGGTATTTACTGTAGTCTTTGCAGTCTGGGCTTGTTTGTGCCCATCTTTTTGGGAAGGTATTCCAGGTGCTCAAAGAGACTTTAGCTCCAAGTCCAATAACACTGTGGTTCTTGTGGACTCATAGAAGTATTGCCTTGGTGGCCCTAGATAAGATCCAGAAAAATTCTCTGATTACTAGGCAGAGACTCTTGTTCTCTTTCCTTACTCTCTCCCAAATAAATGGAGGCTCTGTCTCTGTACTGTGCTGCCTGGAGCTAGGAGTGGGGTGATGCAAGCATTCTCATGACCATAACCACTGGGACTGTGCTGGGTCATACCCAAAGCCAGTACAGCACTGGGTCTCACCCGTCGCCCACTGTAACCACTACCCAGATACCACCTATGATCACTCAGCGCCCTAGCGCTCTACAATCAGCAGCTGGGACCACCAGTCAGATTTATATCTTTCCTTTCAGCGCAGTGAGTTTCCCCAGGCCCTGGGAGGGTCCAGAGATGCTGTCTGGGAGCTAAGGATTAGAGTCAAAAACCTTAGAAATCTACCTGGTGTTGTATTCTACTGCAGCTAAGCTGGGACTCAAACCACAAGACAAAGTTCTTCCCACTCTACCACCCACTTTCCACGGATAGAGGAGCCTCTCCCAGTGGCTGCCACCACCACTGGCCCACAGATAATTCTGCCCACAGAGGGTTCTGAACACTCACTTAAAGCCCAAAGGCTCTTCAAGCCAACTTATGGTGAATGCTCTCAGGCCTGGGACTTACCCTTTAGGACAGTGGTCCCCCTCTGACTCATGGCAGGTCCAAAAATGTCCAAGAACTTAGATCTGAACTCAAGAACCCCAAACATCTGTTTGGTGCTCTACCCCACTGTGGCTGAGCTGATACCTAAGGTGCAAGACAAAGTTCCCTTTACTTTTCTCTCTGTTTTTCTCCAGCAGTGGTCTTTCACCAGAGCCACCATAGCTGGGAATGTGCTCAGCCTCCCCTGAAGCCAGCACAACTCAGACTCTCATCCAAGGCCCACAGATACTACCTGAGTATTGCTGTTGGCTATTCAGGTACCAAGGGCTCCTTGGTCAGCAGATGATAAGTCCTGCCAGGAGTCGGTCCTTCCCTTCAGGACAGCAGGCTCCCTCCTGGCCCAGCATGTGTCTAGAAATGTCATCTAGGAGCTAGGGCCTGGAATGAGGGCCTCATGCCTCTGCCTGGTGCTCTATCCTATTGTAGCTGATCTGGTATCCAAGATGCAAGACAAAATCCTTTTTACTCTTTGTTTCCCTCTCCTCAAGCAGAAGGAAAGAGTTACTTTCGTTGCTGTGAGCGATGCCGCCTAGGATTGGGGAAGGGTGGTTCATGCACTCCCTTAGCTGCCCCAGCTGGTGTCTACCTATGTCCTGTGCCACCCTAGTCCACTGATTCTAAGCCCAGCCCAGCACTAGGACTTGCCTAAAGGTTCCAGTCCTTGTATCCTAAAATGCCTTTCAAATTTACCTAGGACCCCAGAGCATTTTAGCCTGCAGTGGCAAAGCCTGGCACAACTTGAGTTCTGACCACTGTGATGGATGATTCCCTCTGGTCCAGGCTGATACAAATGCTCCCTCCTTGGATAGGCACAGGCTGAATCCAGCATGGTTTTGCTCTCCACTGCGACAGGGCAGCACAAAGTTCATTGCCAAGTCCCCCAGGTCATGCGCTCTCTCTCTCACTCTCTCTCCTCCAAGTGTACAGTTTCTCTCTGTGCCATGCAGCTACTGCTGGGGGTGGGAGAGGAGTAGTATGAGCGATTCAAGACTGTCTTTCCTGGCCCAGTGTGGTGGCTCACGCCTGTAATCTCAGCACTTTGGGAGGCCAAGGAGGGCGGATCAACTTGAGGTCAGGAGTTCAAGACCAGCCTGGCCAACATGGCAAAACCCCATCTCTACTAAAAATACAAAAAAAATTAGCTGGGCCTGGTGACATGCGCCTGTAGTCCCAGCTACTAGGGAGGCTGAGGCCAGGAGAATCACTTGAACCTGGGAAGCAGAAGTTGTAGTGAGCTGAGATTGTGCCACTGCACTCCAACCCGGGCAACCAGAGTGAAACTCTGCTGAAAGAAATGAAGAAAGAAAGGAAGAAAGAAAGGAAGAAAGGAAGAAAGGAAGAAGGAAAGAAGGAAAGAAAGAAAGAAATTTAAAAAAAAAGAAGAGGAAGAAAAACAAAAATATTATGCAAACATGCATTTTTCTAGGGAAAGAGTCCCTAGCTAGATTATAGTTTGAAGAGGCCAGAGATCATGAATACTTTATCCACCACCATATTCCCAGCCCACAGAATACAGCCTGGCAGCCAACAGACACTTACTGAATGAACAAGCCTCAACCAGGCTTTCTTATTCCCACATGCTAGGCTGTGGTCAGGCTTCAATCATAACCCAACTTCTGCCACCCAATATATGTGTGACCTTGGTTAAATTACTTAAACCAGCAGTCCCCAAATTTTTTGGCGCCAGGGACCAGTTTCATGGAAGACAATGTTTCCACCAGGGAGGAATGGTTTTGGAATGATTCAAGCACATTACATTTATTGTGTACTTTATTTCTATTATTATTACATTATAATGTATGATAAAATAATTATACAACTCATCACAAAGTAGAATCAGTGGGATCCTTAAGCATGTTTTCCTGCAACTAGATGGCCCCATCTGGTATTGATGGGAGACGGTGACAGATCATCAGGCATTAGATTCTCATAAGGAGCAACCTAGATACCATGCATGCACCGTTCACAATAGGGTTCATGCTCCTAGGAGAATCTAATGCCACCACTGATCGGACAGAAGGCAGAGCTCAGGTGGTAAAAAGGGATGGGGAACAGCTGGAAATATAGATGAAGCTTCCATCACCAACCAGTCACTTCCTGCTGTATGGCCCAATTCCTAACAGGCCACAGACCAGTACTGGCCCCACAGCCCAGAGTTGGGGACCCCTGACTTAAACTAAGGGCCAGGTTTCCAGAGTGACATCCACTTTAAAGGCTTGTTGAGTGGATTAAATCAAAATGTTGGTATACTTGGCCTGGCGCAGTGGTTAACACCTGTAATCCCAGCACTTTGTAATCCCAGGCAGGTGGATCACCTGAGGTCAGGAGTTCAAGACCTGCCTGGCCAATATGATGAAACCCCATCTCTACTAAAAATACAAATAATTAGCTGGGTGTGGTGGCAGTCACCTGTAATCCCAGATACTCGGGAGGCTGAATCAAGAGAATTGTTTGAACCTGGGAGGTGGAGGTTGCAGTAAGCTGAGATTGCACCACTGCACTCCAATCTGGGCAACAAGAGTGGAAACTTCGTCTCAAAAACGAAGCAAAACAAAACAAAAAATGTTGGTATACTGTTGGAGCATTATAATGCACAACTAATTTCATGTCCTGTCCTGCTCTCCTACTACCACTTACTTTCTCTGTGTAAGTCGTTTGTTCCTGGGCCTCAAGGCAGTTCCTTGCTCTAACCAGTTTGCCTCTACTAGTCCATAGAATTGCTCAGTGTAGCCGAATGAGTAAATATCAATTATGGTCATTTATGGGAAGTAGAAAAGTTCCTTTTTAAAGTTTCCTTTCTTGTTAACGAATAAGTGTGCTAATAACTTTGTTAAGCCCTATCCTATGTAGTCGTTAGACATGCCGTGCTTACAGACACGTAGTATATTCTATTTCCCTGTACTTTAACCAAGATATCTGCTAGACATGCTCACAGGCATGTCCCAGCTCTCCATTGCTTTTACCTGTTTAGAAAATTTCAAGTTGTTAGGCAATTGGGTTTTAGTTTAAATTGTGAGGTCTGGCTCCAACCAATGGAAATCAGACACACCAGTAAGGAGGACCCTAAATGCATAAGGGATAAATTTGTGTGTTTTCCTTTGTTCATTGTACTCTCATGGCATCATGGCTGGCAAGAGTATCCTTCCTGCAGTCCAGGAAGTAAAAATTGTGTTGCTGAAAGATCCTTTGTCTCAGTACTAATTTTTCTTTGCAGCACCAAGCATCTATTTCCAACATATTCCAAAGCATAAGAATCATGAGGTGCAGTTCGCAATTCTTGACATCCCATGCTGTATGGGTCCTGTGCTGGCACTTTCAAGCCTTAACCCACAAATTAGGCTTGTCCTTAAGTAGAAGCATTGACAAAGTTTTTGCTACATAGATAGCAATTTTGTGCCTGGATCATAACAATCCTAAAAAAATTGCTGACTGAATAAACTGTTTAGTTTTTATTTATTTATTTATTATTTGAGATGGAGTCTCGCTGTCACTAGGCTGGAGTGCAGTGGCACCATGTCAGCTCACTGCAACCTCTGCCTCTCGGGCTCAAGCAATCCTCCTACCTCAGCCTCCAACGTATCTAGGACCACAGGCATGTGCCACCACACCTGGCTAACTTTGTACTTTTGGTAGAGATGGGGGATTTCTTCATGTTGGCCAGGCTGGTCTTGAACTCCAAAGCTCAAGCAAACTGCCTGCCTAGGCCTCCCAAAGTGCTAGGATTACCAGTGTCAGCCACCACACTGGCCTATTTTTAATTTTTTTTACAAACTGCCATACTGTTTTCCGTAGAAGCTGCACTATTTTACTTTATTTCATTTTATTTTGAGACAGTCTCACTCTGTCACTCAGGCTGGAGTGCAATGGCATGATCTCGGCTCACTGCAATCTCTGCCTCTGAGGTTCAAGTGATTCTCCTGCCTCAGCCTCCAAAGTAGCTGGGATTACAGGTGCCTGCCACCATGCCAGGCTAATTTTTGTATTTTTAGTAGAGACAAAGTTTCTCCATGTTGGCCAGGGTGGTCTCGAACTCCTGACTTCAGGCACTCTGCTCGCCTCGGCCTCCCAAAGTGCTGGGATTATAGGCTTGAGCTACTGTGCTAGGCCAGCTGCACCATTTTATATTCCTACCAACAGTGTACAAGTATTCTGATTTCTCCACATCCTCACCAACACTTGTTAGTTCCTGATTTTTGACGGGTATAAGGTGGTATTTCATTTCAGTTTTGACTTTCATTTACTTAGTGGTTAGTGTGGTTAAGCATCTTTTCATTTGGTTGTCGGTCATTTCTACGGTATGGTATATATTTCTTTGGAGAAATGTCTATTTTCAAGTCCTTTGACATTTTAATTGAGTTGTTTATTATTAAATTGTATGAGTTCTTTATATACTATAGATATTAACCCCTTATCATATATATGATTTGATAATATTTTCTCTCATTCTGTTGGTTGCTTTTTCACTGTTGTGTCCTTTGTTTTTGGGGGGTTGTTTTTTGAGTTTTCTTTTTTGAGAGTTTTGTTCTTTTGCCCAGGCTGGAGTGAAGTGGCGTGATCTCAGCTCACTGCAACCTCTGCTCCCCAAGTTCAAGCAACTCTCCTGCCTCAGCCTCCTGAGTAGCTGGGGTTATAATAGGCACCCGCCACCATGCCCGGCTAATTTTGTACTTTTAGTAGAGGCAGAGTTTCGCCATGTTGGCCAGGCTGGTTTTGAACTCCTGACCGCAGGTGATCCACCCATCTTGGCCTCCCAAAGTACTAGGATTACAGGCGTGAGCCACCATGCCTGGCCTATTGTGTCCTTTGATGTACAGAAAAGAACTGATGCACAGTCCTTTTCTGAATGTTCACAGCACCCTTGTCAAAAATCATTTGACTATTCAGGGTGTGGTAGCTCATTCAGTAATCCCAACACTTTGGGAGGCTGAGGCAGGAGGACTGCTTGAGGCCAGGAGTTGGAGACATGCCTGGCAATGTCTCAATTGTGTCCACACACAATGTAAAAATTAGCAGGGCATGGTGGGTGGTGTGCGACTACCAGGTGTCTTGACTACCCAGGAGGCTGAGGTGGGAGGATCTCTTGAGCCCAAGACGTCCAGGCTGCAGTGAGCTACGATTGTGTTATTGAATTCCAGCCTGGGCGACGAAGGAGCAGACTGTCTCAAAAAAAAAAAAAAAAAAAAGAAAAAGAAAAAGAAAAGATCATTTGACCATTTGACTGTATATGCGAAGGTTTTGTGCCATAAACTTTTGTGGCTGGTGATAGAAACGACATGGTCTCTGCCTTAAGGAAGCCACAGTCAAATTAAACAGATTCTGTTTCAAGTAGCATCTGTCCCGTGTGCTCAGTTGGCACTGGGCCCTTTCCTACCCTTTGCCCCTTAAGCTCCTGATCCAACCAGTGAGATAGGTAGGATGATCCTCTTTAGCAGAGGGGTAAACTTAGTCCACGAAAGGCGCAGCTATGGCTGATGCGAGGGCGCAGACAGTCAGGATTTGAACCCAGAGTTCCCGGCTCAATGTGTCATGCTACCTCAGGTTAGATGTTCTTACCTCTAAAACGTGGGCAGAAGTGAAATGAGAAGCTCTCTACTGAGCAGCTCTTCAACTCCATGAACCTATACTTTAAAGAGTCACCAGAAGCCAGGGTAGACGAGAAAGGTGCAGGCATTAAGCATGATCCTGGTGCACAGAAGAGCAGAGCCCAAAACACCACTCCCAGCCCCTGAGGACAGAATACTAAAGCGGCAGTCCTGCGGAGCTGAGTGGACCCCGAGTCCTCACCCGGAACCCGGGCGCGGCTGGGCTGTGCTATTGGTGAGGGTGGGGGACGCGCAACCCAAAAATGCCGGCAACGAGCTTCTTGGGACGGTTCTCGCACAGTTTCTCTGGAGGGAGCCAGCGGGCTTCTGAGACGTCTCTAGCACTCGCCCCTGGCATCGCTCCCATTTCCTCCTCTTCCGCGGAGGTTATTCTTCCCGGTGGCCCCTTCCTTGGGTGTCCCTTTGGTACGCCCCCACCCTGACCGGGAGTGGCGCGGCGAGCGCCCGCGTGGCCACTGCGCATGCGGACCGGGCGGAGTATAGGGTGGGCTGGGGAGGGAAGCGCGGAGCACGGACCCCGCCCCTTCGCGGCTCCGTGCGTGGCGTCGCTAGGGGCGCCGGCCTCCGCCGGGCCCAGAGGGGTAAGAGCGTGTGGCCGGAGGATCCGTCGCGCGAGACCGGGAGGGGACGAGGGTGTTGCGATCGTTCGGCGGGGGGGGCCTTCTCGGGAGGGGTTGCTCAGATGCACCGGCGGCCGCGGACCCCCAGGTTCCGCCCTCCCCTCCCTTTAATCCCCTTCCAGCCGGACGGGAGGCGGGGCAGGGGTGAGCATTTTGTGACACCTGCGTTTCCGTGGCTCCCTCCTCCTCCCCGGCCCCTGTTATCTTTTCGCCTTCCAGAAGTTATTTTCCATCAGGCTGTCGTTCTTTGCGTGGAAGCAGGAGGCGGGGTTCAGACCTTGGCCCTACCCCTCCTATGTTAAAGTCCGCAGGCCTCAGTTTCCCCCACAGTATTTTTTTTTGCCTGGCCTTACCTGGTTTTGAGGATCCTTACGGGAAAGAGAAAGGAAATGGACATTTGTTGAGTTCCTGCATGGCTAAATACCACGCAGACTGCTTCATCCGCCACGTTTAATCCTTATTACTTGGTGTTCTCAGAAGTCCCATTTCACGGATTCTTAAGCTCACAGAGTGAGTAACAGAAAGGGATTCATATCTAGCCATTTAGCTGCGAAGCCGCGTTCTTCCCCAGAGTCTTTCCTTGTCTGGGCTCTGGCTGGAAGTGTTCCTCAGCCAAACCCTCACCCCAGAACAGTGCTTCCTGTTTCCCTAGCTGAGAAGTCTCCCTTTCGGGTTCCTTTTTCCAGCACGGAGTGCCCTGCTCTGCCTCCGCTTAGATTACTTCAGAAATGAAAGGCAGAAAATACGTATCAAGCAATGCAGGGAGGTGAACTTTTGGAGTCAAGAACCCTGGATTCTTGTTCTGGCTCTGCCACTATGAGGCCTCGGGAAGTCCCTTGCCTTCTCTGAGCTTTTGCTTCTCTTTGTGTATAAGAGGTGCTCTTGTCCCATTCTCCCTCCCTGTCCTCCAGCAGGCTCTCCCTGGAGGCCCAGGCCCCTCTGCTCCCCATGGGCAACTGCCAGGCAGTGCACAACCTGCACCTGTGTCTGGCCCACCACCCACCTCTGGTCTGTGCCACTTTGATCCTGCTGCTCCTTGGCCTCTCCGGCCTGGGCCTTGGCAACTTCCTCCTCACCCACAGGACTGGCCTGCGCAGCCCTGACATTCCTCAGGTAAGTTTCACCCCCTCCAAACCGGCCCTTCCTTTCAACATAGACAGGCTTTTGCTGTCATCTTTGTTATCAGCTTTTGTAATCTCATCTCACCTGTCTCCCACCCTCCTTTTGCTTGTAGGACTGGGTCTCTTTTTTGAGATCTTTTGGCCAGTTGACCCTGTGTCCCAGGAATGGGACAGTCACAGGGAAGTGGCGAGGGTCTCACGTCGTGGGCTTACTGACCACCTTGAACTTTGGAGACAGTCCAGACAGGAACAAAACCCAGACATTCCAGGCCACAGTCCTGGGTAGTCAGATGGGATTGAAAGGTGAGATCAGAGGCTGGGTGTGGGTGGGGGGGGGGGGGGAGGCGCTGACACACCTGTAAGTAATCCCAGCATGTTGGGAGACCAAGGTGGGCGGATTATTTGAGGACAGGAGTTTGAGAATAGCCTGGCCAACATGGTGAAACCCCATCTCTACTAAAAATACAAAAATTAGCCGGGCATGATGGCAGGCACCTCTAATCCCAACTACTCGGGAGGCTGAGCCAGGAAAATCGCTTGAACCTGGGAGGCAGAGGTTGCAGTGAACCGAGATTGTGCCGCTGCACTCCAGCCTGGGTGACAGAGTGAGACTGTCTCAAAAAAAAATTAAAAATTGGCCAGTCGTGATGGCTCACACCTGTAATCCCAGCACTCTGGGAGGCCAAGGAGGGCAGATCATAATTCAGGAGTTTTGAGACCAGCCTGGCCAACATGGTGAATGCCATCTCTACCAGAAATAAAAAAATTAGCCAGGTGTAATGGTGTGTACCTGTAGTCCCAGCTACTCAGGAGGCTGAGGCAGGAGAATCACTTGAACCTGGGAGGTGGAGGTTGCAGTGAGCCGAGATTGTGCCACTGCACTCCAGCCTAGATGACAGACCAAGACTTCGTCTCAACAAATAAAAATAAAAAATAAAAACAAAAATTAGCCAGGTGTGGTGGTGGGTGCCTATAGTCCCAGTTACTTAGGAGGCTGAGGCAGCAGAATTGCTTGATCCTGGGAGACAGCTGCAGTGAGCAGAGATCACACGACTGTACTCTAGCCTGGGTGACAGACAGAGAGAGACTCTGTCTCAAAAGAAAAATAAAAATTAAAGGTGAGATCAGAGAGGACTGTGGGGTTGGGCATCAGAACACTCAGGGCTGGGTCCTGCCTCTGACCCCACCAATGATGACCTTGTGCACATCCCTGGACCTTAGTCACTTCTGTGATTAGGGCTTTCAGTGAACATGCTGCCAACAAGGTAGGTTTTTGTTTTTTTTTAAGATGGGGTTTCACCATGTTGGTCAGGTGGTCTTGAACTCCCGACCTCAGGTGATCCGCCCGCCTTGTCCTCCAAAGTGCTTGGATTACAGGCGTGAGCCACCAAGGTAGGTTTTCTACAAATACTTTCTTCCTCTGCCAGTTCTGATGTTCTCTGAGTCTTTCCTTGGAGGTCTGATGAGATAGGCTAGGTTTGACCTAATGTTTCTCATTCTTTAGCCACCTCCTTTTAGAGACACCTTCTTTTTCCTCAGGGATATCAGAGAAGCATAGTCTGTTCAATTAAACTAATGTCATAAGGGCCTGCTATGTGCTTAGCATACTCTATATGCTACAAAGGATGCAGAAAAAATTAGACACCATCAATTTCCAAAGAGCTTATAGTCCTCTGGGAAAATGACAAGCGAGAGACAGAAAGTAAAAATGTCAGTAGATGCCATTAATCCCTGTCTGACATTTGGCCTTATCTAAAATATTCGGAGATAAAGAGGGAAGGAAGAGAGTGGTATTTTCTGATTCCTGAGGTCTTTTACAGCACTCTCATTCTAAGATTCTCCTATGAGTACATATGCGTTGGGGGGGAGTGGGCCTTTACATGTCCAGGTGTACATGTATGTTAACAAAAATAAAGAATGTGTCTGATATACGCAGACTTGGGACAATTCTTCCCATTCTTTTTACTCTTAAGTAGATATATAATAGTTTTATTGAGATATGATTCATATACCATTCAATTCACCCATTGAAAGTATATGGTTAGGATTGGGCGTGGTGGCTCATGCCTGTAATCCTAGCACTTTGGGAGGCCAAGGCAGGCAGATCACTTGAGCTCAGGAGTTTGAGACCAGCCTGGGCAACATGGCAAGACTCTGTCTCTACTGAAAATACAAAAACATAGCCGGGCATGGTAGTGCACACCTGTGGTCTTAGCTTCTCAGGAGACTGGGACAGGAGGTAAAGCTTGCAGTAAGCTGAGATCATGCCACTGCACTCCAGCCAGGGTGACGGAGTGAGACCCTGTCTCAATGAATGAATGAATGAATGAATGAATGTACCATTAGGACAGGTGATGGCTTGAGCTCAGAGTTTGAGACCAGCCTGGGCAACATAGTCACAAAAGTATGCAGGCATCACCACAGTCCGTTTTAGATCATTTTCATCACCCCAAAAAGAAACTGTACCCATTAGCAGTCCCTTCCTGCCACACCCCCATCTCCCAGCCCTAGTCAACCATTCATCTACTTTCTGTCTCTAGATTTGCCTAGCCTAGTCATTTCATATATAATGGTCTTTTGTGACTGGCTTCTTTCACTTGGTATGATGTTTTAAAGTTTCATCTGTGTTGTATATATCGGTATTTCATTTTTTTAATTTAAATTTTTAAATCTTTTTTGAGACAGTTTTGCTCTTGTCGCCCAGACTGGAGTACAATGACAAAATCTCAGCTCACTGCAACCTCCACCTCTTGGGTTCAGGTGATTCTTCTGCCTCAGCCTCCTGAACAGTTGGGATTACAGGCACACATCACCACGCCTGGCTGTTTTCATTTTAGTAGAGACGGGGTTTCACCATGTTGGCCAGACTGGTCTCGAATGCCTGACCTCATGATCCACCCACCTCAGCCTCCCAAAGTGCTGGGATTACAGGCATGAGCCATCTTGCCCAGCCAGTATTTTATTTTATTTTTTATTGCTGAATAACGTTCATTGTATGAATATTCCTCATTTTCTTTTATTCAATCATCATGTGATTGACAGTGGGTTGTTTCCTTTTTCACTATTATGAATGATGCTACCTTGAGTGTTCCTCAGTGTTGTCATGGCATGTTTAATTTCTCTTGAAAATATACTTACAAGTAGAATATATAATAACACTATGTTTAATCATTTGAGAGCTACCAGACTGTTTTGCAAAGTGACTACGCCATTTTATATTCCCACCAACATGAGGCTTCCAGTTTCTTCACATCCTCATCAACACTTGTTATTATTCATCTTTTTTATTATAGCCATCATAGCATGAAGTCTGTGGTTCTGATTTGCATTGTCTTGATGGCTGAGAAGAGTTGATACTGATTTTTCATGCACTCAGTGGTCATTTATATGTCTTCTTTAGAGAAATGTATTCACAGTCTTGGCCCATTTTTAAAATTGGGTAATTTGTCTTTTAGTTATTATAAGAGTTTTGTGGCTGGGCATGGTGGCTTACGCCTGTTAACCCAGCACTTTGGGAGGCCGAGGTGGGAGGATCACCTGAAGGAGTTCAAGTCCAGCCTGGCTAACATGTTTCTACTTAGAAAAAATGAGCCAGGCATGGTGGTGTGCCCCTGTAATCCCGGCTACTCAGGAAGCTGAGGCAGGAGAATTGTTTGAACCTGGGAGCTAGAGGTTGCAGTGAGTCAAGATCACACCATTGCACTCCAGCTTGGGCAACAAAAGCAAAACTGCATCTCAAAAAAAAAAAAAAAAAAAAAAAAGTTTTTTATACTTTCTAGAAACAAGTCCCTTGTCTGAGAAATGATTTACAGATCATTTCTTCCATTTTGTGAGTTGTTTTTTTCACATTGTTGATGGTTCTGTGAAACACAAAAGTTTTTAATTTTAATTTTTTTTTTTTGAGACAAGTTTCGCTCCATTATCCAGACTGGAGTGCATTGGTGCAGTCTCAGCTCACTATAACCTCTGCCTCCCAGATTCAAGCATTCATCTGTGTCGGCCTCCCAAGTAGCTGGGATTACAGGTGTCCACCACCACACCCAGCTAATTTTTCGTACTTTTAGTAGAGACAGGGTTTCATCATATTGGCCAGGCTGGTCTTGAACTCCTGGCCTTAAGTGATCCACCTACCTTGTCCTCCCAAAATGGTGGGATTACAGGCATGAGCCACCATGCCCAGCCAAAATTTTTTAATTTTGGTAAAGTCCAATTTATCTATTTTTCTCTTTTGTTTCTTGTGCTGCTTTTTTGTCTGTGGTTTTTTTTTTTTTTGTTTGTTTGTTTTATGAGACAGGGTCTCACTCTGTTGCCCAGACTGGCATGCGGTGGTGTGGTCACAGCTCACTGTAGCCTTGACCTCCGGGGCCCAGGTGATCCTCCCAACTCAGCCTCCTAGTAGCTGGGACCAATATTCTGGCTAATTTTTACATTTTTTTATATAGATGGGGTCTCACTATGTTACCCAGGATAATCTCAAACTACTGGGCTCAAGTAATTCTCCTGCCTCAGCCTCCTAAAGTGCTGGGATTACAGGCATGAGTACCAGGCCTGTTACCCAATTGTTTTATTTATTTATTTATTTATTTTTCTTTTTTCTTTCTTATTCTTTATTCTTTTTTAATCCACTAGAGAGCAATACTCAATTGTTTTAATTTATTTTCTCCTGATTGCTAGTAGCGTTGAGCCTTCTCTTATGGTTTATTGCTCATTTTCATGTTGTCTGTGAATTACCTGTTTGCTCATTTTTCTTTTAAGTTATTTGTCTTTTTCTCCTTGATTTGTAGAAGGCCTTTATTCTAGATAATGAAACTTTTTGTCATTTAAATATATTATAGGTATTTTCAACCAATATGTTACTTGTTTTTTTTACTTATCTTTCATTGCATAGAAGTCTTTACTTTTTATGAGGTTAGGTTTATCACTCTTATCCTTTATTATGACTTTTAGATTTTGTTTTTCATAGGAAGGCCTTCCTAATTTTAAAATTAGAAAATATTCTTTCCAGGCGCAGTGGCTGATGGCTGTAATCCCAGCACTTTGGGAGGCCAAGGCAGGTGGATCATCTGAGGTCAGGAGTTCAAGACCAGCCTGGCCAACATGATGAAACCCCAGCTCTAACTAAAAATACAAAAAATTAGCTGGGGGTGGTGGTGAAAGCCTGTAATCCCAGCAACTCAGGAGGCTGAGGCAGGAGAATCACTTAAACCCGGGAGGTGGAGATTGCAGTGAGCCAAGATCATGCCACTGCACTCCATTTTAGGCAACAAGAGTGAAACTCTATCTCAAAAATAATAAAATAAAATAAAATATTCTTCTGTATTTTAATACTTAAGATTTTTTTTTTTTTTTTTTTTTAGTTTGTATAGTTCTTTAACACATCTGGACTTTATATTATGAGATAACAGATGCTATGATTTTTTTCTACATGGACATTTTCCCAAGGCCATTTACTGAGGCCATCCTTTCCCCACTAATTTAAAATAGGGTGAGAACCTTTTAATGGATTTTGTTACCAAGTGGGAAACTACTTTCTTAAAAAGAATGAGCTAGTTTATGCAAACTGACATTGGCAGTGTGTATCTGTCCGTTTCACTGCAGGCTTGCCAGTATTGGTATCATTGTTGTATTGATGGTAATTTAAGTTAATTTAAATTACAACTTAATTTGTGTTTATAAGTTATTTTCACTTCTCAGTGATATAAATAATGATATATGGAATATTTTATTGAATAGAATCAATGCCAAATCACCTGGTATCATAGAAAGCCTTAAAAACTGAGTTGGGCCAGGTGCAGTGGCTCATGCCTACAATCCCAGCGTTTTGGGAGGTCAAGGTAGCAAGATCACTTGAGCCCAAGAGTTTGAGTCCAGCCTGGGCAACACAGTGAGACCCTGTCTCTACAAAAAAATTTAAAAGTTAGCCAGGCAGGTGGTGCATGCTTTTTTTTTTTGCCCCCAGGACAGGGTCTCACTCTGTTGCCCAAAATGGAATGCAGTGGTGCAATCACAGCTCACTGTAGCCTTGACCTCCTAGGCCCAGGTGATCCTCCCAACTCAACCTCCTGAGTAGCTGGGACCACTAGCCTGGCTAATTTTTGTATTTTTTATAGAGATGGTGTCTCACTATTTTGCCCGGGCTAATCTCAAACTTCTGGGCTCAAGTAGTCTCACCTACTCAGGAGACTGAGGTGGATTACTTGAGCCAGGAGGTTGAGGCTGCAGTGAGCTGTGATTATGCCACTGCACTCCAGCCTGGGCGGCAGAGTGAGACCCCATTCAAAAAAAAAGAGGAAATACAAGAAAAGAAGTGTGAAAGTGTGAAAATGTGAAGAAATACAAGAAAAGAAGTGTGAAAGTGTGAAGATGGAGGCTCCCGCCTCACCCCTCATTTTCTTCCATCTTCTCTTCTATGCCTTTCACAGGATCTGCTGCAGGACAACTGGTCCTCATCACAGCCAGGGTGACCACAGAAAGGACTGCAGGAACCTGCTTGTATTTCAGTGCTGTTCCAGGAATCCTGCCCTCCAGCCAGCCACCCATATCCTGCTCAGAGGAGGGGGCCGGAAATGTCACCCTGAGCCCTAGAATGGGTGAGGAGTGTGTTAGGGTCTGGAGTCACGAAGGCCTTGTGCTAACCAAGCTGCTCACTTCGGTAAGAGCCTCAGATCAGTCGCTAGGGTTTTGTAGACTCCATGTTGACTACTGTATCTTGAAGGTTCCTGGAAGCAACTCTACCTTGTAGAAAAAGCACAGGTTTTATAACCCTGCCTTGGGGGCTGTGTGACCTACAACAAGTGTCTAAACATCTGAGAGGCAGCTTCCTCATCTGTAAATCAGAAAACATGACCCTATCTCTTAATTCCACCAAATAAGGATTAAATGATAATGACTGTGAAGTGCCCAGCACAACATAGAGATTTGATAAATGACAGCTGTTATTATTTACTGTTGTCTTTAAAACATTATCTCTACCTCAAAGGATTTCGGAAGCTGTAATAAGAGGCAAATGGGCTAATTGCTATTAGACAAGTGTGAGCAGCACGTTTTCAAACACGAAGTAAGGAGCCATTAACCCTAACGTGAACACTTATGGAGAGTGCTTCACAGAGAAGGTGGCATTTACACAAGAGCATTGTGTACAGTAGTTTATCGTGCACAGAGTGCTCTCAGGGTTCATTAACTCATTTGATCTTAAAATAGCCTTCTGAGGTAGCTGTTATCCCATTTTACAGATGAGGAGAACAGTTTAGAGAGAGGGAGTGAATTGCTAAAGGCCACACAACTGGTTAAGTGGCAGAACCAGGGTTGCAACCCACACCTTCTGTGTGGTCAGGATGATCCTTGAAGAATGAGGAAGATTTGGACAGGGATTGCAGCAGAGGAGTTTCAGGAGACGGGGAGGCACACTCCAGACAAAGGCACCAGGATGGGTACAGGTCTAGAGATTGATAAGTGTTGGTCGGGTGTGGAGCCTGTAATCTCAGCACTTTGGGAGGCTGAGGCAGGCACATCACCTGAGGTCAGGAGTTCAAGACTAGCCTGGCCAACATGGTGAAACCTTGTCTCTACAAAAATACAAAAACTAGCCAGGCATGATGGCAAGTGCCTATAATCCCAGTTACTCAGGAGGCTAAGGCGGGAAAATCGCTTGATCCCAGGAGGTGGAGGTTGTAGTGAGCCAAGACTGCACCACTGCACTCCAGCTTGGCGATAGAGCAAAATTCCCTCTCAAAAAAGAAAAAAAAAAAAAAGAAAAGTGTTCAGTTAGGCCTCACACCTGTAATTCCAGCACTTTGAGAGGCCAAAGCAAGGAGAATGCCTGAGGCCAGGAGTTCAAGACCAGCCTGGGCAACACAGCAAGACCCTGTTTCTTAAAAAAACATTTTTTTTTTTTTTATTAGCAGGGTATAGTGCTGCACACCTGTAGTCCCAGCAACTCAGGAGGCTGAGGTGGGAGGATCCTTTGATCCTAGAAGTTTGAGGCTGCAGTGAGCCATGATTGTGCCACTGCACTCCAGCCTGAGTGACACAGGGAGACTCTATCTCAAGAAGGAAAAAAAAAGAAGTGTTCAGCCTTTGGGAACACTCCATGATGAGAGGCTTAGGAAGGAGAAAGGCACGAGACCCTGGGGATCTGATCAACAGGTGCTGTGAATGCAGGCTAGAGGGCTATGACCTGATGCTGAAGACTGTGGGGCCTCTGAGGAGTTTTAAAGAGGAGAGAGAGCCATTCCCCTGGTACTGGGTGGAGGAGATTAGCTGAGTGGAGGGCCATCAGTCAGGAGGCTGCTGCACACTCCAGTCTCACCTTTGAAACGATCCCATGAAGTACGGTGGCTCCCGCCTGTAATCCCAGCAATTTGAGCGGCCAAGGTGGGTGGATCCCTTGAGGTCAGGAGTTTGATACCAGCCTGGCCAACATGGTGAAACCCTGTCTGTACTAAAAATTTAAACATTAGCCAGATGTTTTGGTGGGCACCTGTAATCCCAGCTACTCTACGGGGAGGCTGAGGCAGAATTGCTGGAACTTGGAAGGGAGAGGTTGCAGTGAGCCGAGTTCAGGCCACTGCACTCCAGCCTGGGCAACAGAGTGAGACTGCATCTCAAAAGAAGAGAAAAAGACCCCATGAGGAGCGCGATCTGGGACCTGGAATCAGAGATGTGGTTTCTACATCCAGCACTGCTAGCACATCTTTAAAAGGTGGATCATAATGAAGTTTCCCGTCTCATGGAGTCATGATGAGGGTTCAGGTTGATAATTGGGTAAGAAAGTTGTTTTTAAACTATCAGGACAAATGTTCTAGCCTGGACAACATGGTGAAAGCCCGTCTCTACAAAAAATCCAAAAAAAATTAGCCAGGCATGGTGGCATATACCTGTGGTCCCAGGTACTCAGGAGGCTGAGGTAGGAGGATTGCTGCAGCTCAGGAAGCGGAGGATGCAGTGAGTCGAGATCGCACCACTGCACTCCAGCCTGGGTGACCAGAGTGAGACCCTGTCTCAAAAAAAAAAAAAAAAAGACAAATTTAAACTTATATGAAAATAACATTTTCCTTTCAGTTGTTCCCTAGATGTGGAGAGCTGTCTCCCTCATGGAGGCTCCCTCTATGGCCCTTGGGCTGGGTTCAGATGTCCTCCTCCTCTCCTCCCTGTATCCCTCTCTAGGAGGAGCTGGCTCTGTGTGGCTCTAGGCTGCTGGTCTTGGGCTCCTTCCTGCTTCTCTTCTGTGGCCTCTGCTGTGTCACTGCTGTGTGCTTCCACCCGCGCCGGGAGTCCCACTGGTCTAGAACCCGGCTCTGAGGGCACTGGCCTAGTTCCCGACTCGTTTCTCAGGTGAGGTTCTTTGCTCCATTCCTGTGGGAACAGGGAATGGGGCGGGGGTGGAGGTTGTAACTGGGGTAGAGCAGATCCTTGCACTCTTCCTCAAGTGCTGCAGCTTCTGAGTCCTTGAGAACCTCTTCAACCACGGCTCTCCCTTAGGGACTGGGAATAATTTGACACTGTCAGCATTCAATATTTTTCTAAATACTTTTACTTTTTTATTATAAAATATTTAACACTCATGTAGAAAAGTCCAAAAGCATAAAAGGACAGCTTGGCAAATTGTTATAAAGTGGATACTTATAAATACCATTTAGGAGGGACGGAGGAGAATATTACCAGCAGTCAGAAACCCCCCATGGTCCCTTCCTTCCTCACAATGCCCTCCCTCTCCTTAGAAATAACTACTGTTGGCCTGGCACAGTGGCTCATGCCTGTAATCCCAGCACTTTGGGAGGCTGAGGCGGGCAGATCATGAGGTAAGGAGTTTGATAGCAACCTGGCCAACATGGTGAAACCCTGTCTTTATTAAAAATACAACAGAATTAGCCAGGCGTGGTAGTAGGTGCCTGTAATCCCAGCTACTTGGGAGGCTGAAGGCAGGAGAATTGCTTGAACTTGAGAGGCAGAGGTTGCAGTGAGCCAAGACCTCACCACTGTACTCCAGCCTGGGCGACAGAGTGAGACTGTTTCAAAAAAAAACAAAAAACAAAAAACTACTGTCCTGCTTTCTAATTTATTGCCAAGTATGTCTTCCTAAATAATATGGTTTGGTTTTACTTTTTTTGAACCTATATAGACAGAATTATACATATTCTTTTGTGGCTGAATTCTTTCAAGAAACACTGTGATTTTAAGACTCATCCATAACTAGTTCACATCCAAGTATTTGGGTAACAATGGTGAGTTAAGAAGGTTCACGTTTGATGATTCATCCTGGATATGAACCATGTTTGTCTTGCTTTTGTCCTGAAATCCTGATACCCAGTTTTACGATGGTAATTTTGTAAAATTCAACTTGAACCTCTCAGAAGAGTCTAATTGATGATGCCCATTTACTGGGGACATATTATGTGCCCAAGAACTTGACATGTACCTTCTCTCTTCCATTTAGTCATCATTACATTTAGAAAAAGTTGATTCTATTGACAAGATCTTTGGAGGGAATCAGCTTCATAAACCTGGCGGCGGGTGGGAGCCATATTGGTTAACTAGTTTACCCGTCAGCTCACTAAAGGAAAAAATATTTCTGCAAAAAATCTTCACTTGTCAGAGGGGGTGCATGTAATTTCAGAGGCCCATGTGTTATGCATCCAGCTTTTTAACTGGTCTCAGCTTGAGTTGGCTGCAGTGCCCTAGGAAGTTCCTGTGGGAGAAGTGGAAACAGTTCAGGCCCAGGGAACTGATCAGTCCAGAGGAACTGGAAGCTCAAGATCAACTCTGCTTATTTTGCTGATGGCTGGGCCTAAAGGCTCCAACCACCTGCTTGGGACAGGAAATGACAGGACCCTCTCAACCTTGGATTGGGAAAGGAGGGCTTCCTGGCCCCTGGCAGACCCCGGGGTCCTGAGGCTGCCCTAGTTGAGATTAAATGCCTGTATTGGTCTCTAGCTGTCACTCCCTCTGCTCCTTACCCTAGCAGCTTTCTGACTTGTTCTGTTGTTTTATTCTCTTTCTCCTTAGGTGTGAATCAATTTCTTTGGCCTTGGCTCTGAGTTGGAAAAGGTTTTAGAAAAATTGAAAAGCTGGAATGTGGGGGAAAATAAAAGCTTTTTTGCCCAGTGGTGTCAGGTGTTTATTGGGGGTTGGATTGAGGTGGGGATTTTAGGGTAGGCAGGCTTAGAAGTTTTGGGGAACTCTGTTTACTGTTTAGTTTGGACACAGGTTGGCATAGGGCATAGGTTACTTCAGCCCTCCCCATGGTTGGCTTGGCTTTGGAAAACACCTGTCTTGTTTTCTTCTACAAAATAAAATGGATAATTACAGCTAGTTGTCAGGTCATGGTAATGCTGTGACATAAATGCACTGTGACCTTGGCATGTCATGCAACCTGCAGCACCTCAGTTTCCTTAAGAGATCTAACCGACTGAGTTTTCCCAGCGTTGATGCGCAAAGATTCCTCGAACTTGGGGGCCCTCGTCCAGTCTAGATGGTTGCTAACGTCGGAACAGCCCATTTTCCCGCCTTTTCCTCGCCCAGCGGCAGCTTCCCTTGCCCGCCCCCCCAACTTCCACCCTGCGCACACGCGCAGATCGCCACTGCTGTCCATCCCCCGGCGCCCCCTCAAAGCTTCCCCTAGCAACAAGCTCAGGCTAAGCGCGAAGGCGGGGCGGGCGCATGCGCCGCAGCTCTTTCCACCGCCAGTCTTGGGACGGAGTGCTGGGCTCCTCCCCTTGCAAGCCTAGCCCTTCTCCCCGCCTCCTCCGGCCCGGGGTCCGCGTGGCGGGGCGCGCGCGCACTCGGGTTCGGCGGCTGCCGGTCTCCCGGGCCGCGGCAGTGAGGAGAGAGGGCGGGGCTGAGTCCTCTGCGGCCCCGCCCCCTTTGGCCCGGCGTCCCTACCGCGCCTGCGCGCTCCCGCCCGGTCTCCATCTTGGAATTGGGAGGAAGAGGGAGAGGGAGACCGGGACAAGATCGGGGCTGTGGTGCGGAGAGAGGCTGAGACGGAGAGGAGGGGAGGCAGAGAGGGCGCGGGGACCGTCAGCAGCGCCTTAGCTACAATCTTCCAGCTATTCTCGGAAGAGAGAAGGGAGAGGGAGGAGACCGGGCCGGGAGTGGGGCTGTCACCCTTGGACCCCGGCGTGAGAGGGGCCGTGCGGCCGTACATCCTCGGGGTGGGCCCCCAGTCGGTGGCCGAAGACCTAGGGCTCAGGCCCCTGGGTCCCAAATTTCCGGGCTTTGTCCCTCGCTTCTCAAATACCCGGGTATCAGTCCTCATAGTTCAGATATCCGGGACTCGAGTCCCAACCTCTCTAAACCTGGGTCTCTGTTTCATTGAATTTCAAATATCGGGTTCAGGCCCTTTCGTGCACCAGTATCCGGGGTTCATTCCCCAGGCATTCAAATATCAGACTCGGTCTCCCTCCCGTTCAAATATTCGGGGTTCACACCCCACAATCAGAAATCCGGAATTCGGCAACTGTCGCCCTCGAGGAGGGGGAGGACTGGACCGCGAGGTCAGATCAGGTTGTCACCCCCTCCCCTCCAGGGGAGGCTTCCCGGGCCCGCCCCTCAGGAAGGGCGAAAGCTGAGGAAGAGGTGGCAAGGGGGAAGGTCTCCTTGCCCCTCTCCCTGCTTGGCAGAGCCGCTGGAGGACCCCAGGCGGAAGCGGAGGCGCTGGGGCACCATAGTGACCCCTACCAGGTGAGACACGGGTGCAGGGGCGCGGGTCCCTGTGTCTAGCTCTGAGAAGAAAGGGTGCGCCTTTCTGAGAAGCTGGGCTTGGGTAGGCCCTCTCCTCAGGATGGGGAAGCCCAGCTGAGCCAGTGGTCAGCCTCTGGCCAGCCTTGCCTTCTGTTGCCTCCCTCTTCCCCTTCCTCTTCCCTTCATTGTGTCTGGTTGGTGGGGGACCTCAGGTGACAGGGTCTCTGATGTCACCGGGGTTCACACCCTAGGGTGCTTCAGCTAATCAGATGGATTTGCACTTCAGTCTTCTTCCCTTCACTTTGCCCCTCACAGCCACCTCCTCCCTGATATGCCCCTTTCTCCTGACTGCTCTGCGGTGTTAATTCCCATACCTCTGATTCCCATGGTGGGTCTGCTTATCTGCTTTTCAGGCCTGTTCTGGTTGGATTTCTTGTCCTTGCAAGGAAGTGTGTGTTTATGTGTATACGTGTGTGTTTTGAGGTGCATGGCAATGTTTCCCCTTAATTGCAGTTACCTTCCAACCTCTTGCTGTGATGATGTTTTTACAAAGTGCTTTGATAGCCATTCTCTCTTGTGACATCCCCCTCATTCACCCTGTGGGTCTCGTTTATTGGCATCTTCCCATTTTACAGTTGAGAACATTGAGGCCCAGAGAGGTTGCCCAAGGTTACACAGTGGCAGAACCAGAATTTGAACTCAGGTCCTCAGTCACATCTTTCCCTGATGCATGCCTGGTTCTTGCCATCTCTTTTCCTCTGAGTTTGGGCTCAGCCTAGGGGTCCCTAGGAGACCAGGTTGGGGCGAGATTTAAGAATGAGAATGAGATAAGCTTCCTTTCCAAGCAGGCTCTACTCAGAAGCTTTTTCTGATGGGAGGCTCTGTCTGGCTTTTGCCTCTGCCTCATGGAGTTTTCTATCCACTGTGACCTTCATCTTTACCCAGATCCCAGAGTTTGGCCTGGATTCCTGAGAGGGCTCTCTCTTGACAAATGGTAGCACTAGTGCATCTTTGAACCGCTCAAGCCAGTCTTGGGGTGGAATGAGCTCCCAAAAGATTGAAGCTTTGTGGGGACCTTGGAGGCAGGGAAGGAAAAATCCATATGCTGAGTGTCTGCATGGTGTTCCTAAGTATGAAATCTCATTAAAATCTTACAAAAGCTCCAGGCTGTAATCCATTTCACTGAAGAGAAGACCAAGAACTAGAAGGAACTTACTGAAAGCCCTGTTGCTGTACATTGCAGATGGGATGTACTGGTAGTATAGCTTAGGAACAGATAGATACGGGTATCCTCATCTGTAGAATGGAGATAACATTACCCGTTTTGGAAGGTGGTTATGATTTAGCACAGACCTTGGTCATTGTTCAAGTATTTGTTGATATTATGAGGAAGGGGACCTGCATGATATTTTGCTAGTGGGTGGCACCCCTTCCATGTGGCCTAGGGTCCTAGATTGGCATTTTGGGGCCCTGTGTTGGTAAAGAGGTCAGGAAGATTCTTTTGGCAAGTTGAGAGCACCTGCCTTTGTGTGTGGGTGTATGGTGCGGGTGAGGGGTGCTTGGCACTGTTGCTGGCAGAAGGGAGAAAAGGGCCTGCTTTGAGCAGCAGCCTGGGAGCTGCTGAGGGCTGAGCAGAGAGCTATCAATCAGTCTCCCAGGCTATTCTGAGCCCTCTGCACCCTGGGGGCCCACTGGAGAGTCAGGCTCCCTCCTTGCCCTCCAGCTTCCAGTTGGGCTGAGGAGACAAAATTAATAACACAACAGGAAACAATGCATGACAGAATAAATTACATGCTAAAATCGTTAGGTGCTTTTAAGTAGCTAGAACTCTGCCCCAGGAGTCCAGCTCTGCTGAAGGCTCCTTTGTGCCTAAATTCAGACAAGTGCTTAGGCTGGAACCTGTCTTAGAATCTCCTTGAGGGTCCAGGTTCTGGTATCCTGCAGGAACTTTCTCCAGGTGTTTGGCTGGGTGCCCTAGGAGTGCTTCCCAAAGGCTGAAGTGGTCAGGACAGGCTTCCTCTGAGAGGGGAGCTGAGCTTGGGGTGACAGCCGAGAGAGTAATGGGCACACAGGCCTAACCGGGGAGCAGAAGGTCCTATTCTCTGACCTTGGAGAAGTCCTTTTTCTTCTCTGTGCCTCAGTGACCTCACTTGGGAAATGGTGATCATGACTCTGCCCTGCCTGTTTTGAAGGGATGCTCTGAAATCATACTGATGGAGGACCAGCTTTGGACAAGGCACTTAACCTTACCGAGCCTGTTTCTTCATCTGTAAGATAGCGGAAATCATAATATTTGCTTCATAAGGTTGTGGTGAGGACTGAATAGAGATAATGCATGTAAGATGCTTACTGTACCTGCTTAATACATGTTATTTGTACCCTGCAAATGTCCTGTACCTGTGTGTGATGTTTATGCAATTGGACTGGACAAGTAAGGTAGCCCAGACCACAGAGAGGCCCTCACAGCCAGATGCCATTTATATCCCTATTCTTCCCATCTTCGATCTCCCCCTTCCCCTTTTTGAGAGTGAGTCTGCTGGCCCCTCTGGGTACCCACTTCTAACAATGGCCGGATTTCCACCGCCTCCGGCCTGGCCATTTCCTGTTCTCTTCCAGGGTGTGAGAGGTTGAGGGAGGAGGGGGCCTCAGCGCCAAGGGGAACAGGAAGGTGCCTGGAAACAGTTGGGGTATGGGACTTGTGGGACAGGACACTTGGGGCTCTGGAGTGCTGCCTGGGAGGCAGAATGTTTTATCCTTGAGGGGAGATACAGGGGTTGTAGGGAAATGGGAACTTGTTGAGCGCTGAAGCTGGTGGTGAGGATGCTTAGCCTCCCGGAATCTTCCTAGCAGTTTTAGGGACTCCAGGGACCCAGCCCGCATGATCTGGTTGCCCGGGCAACTTCATTTTTCGGAGCTTTGATGTTGTTCCTAATCTCCCCCTCCCCTTCCTCAGCAGTGCCTCCCCCTCATCAGGGAATGAGGGGAGGAGATGGCAGAAACTTGATGGGTCCCTTCCTCTCCCTAAAGGCCTGATCTTTGCTCTAAAGGTCCTATTTCCATTCCCCAGGCCAGGCCCCACTCTCAGGGCCCCCAGGGGCCACCATGCCAGCTGGGGGCCGGGCCGGGAGCCTGAAGGACCCTGATGTCGCTGAGCTCTTCTTCAAGGATGACCCAGAAAAGCTCTTCTCTGACCTCCGGGAAATTGGCCATGGCAGCTTTGGAGCCGTATACTTTGTAAGTTGGGTCCTGGAGAGGGTGTAATAGGGATGGGGACTCTTCCTACCCCTGTGGACCTCTCAACAGCCCTTGCACACCACTCCATCATACTGGCCTTTCCTGCCCTCTCCTTTTGGGCCTGTGAGTCTTCCCATGCCCAGCTGTCACTGGGGCCTTCAACACCTTCTGGTCTGGTCTTCTAGGCCCGGGATGTCCGGAATAGTGAAGTGGTGGCCATCAAGAAGATGTCTTACAGTGGGAAGCAGTCCAATGAGGTGGGCCAGGTGCAATACAGCTAGGTTGGGGGCAGGGAGCTGTCTCAAGATGCAGGCTAGGTAACCTCCACCTACCCTGACTCCCTAGAAATGGCAAGACATCATCAAGGAGGTGCGGTTCTTACAGAAGCTCCGGCATCCCAACACTATTCAGTACCGGGGCTGTTACCTGAGAGAGCACACGGCTTGGGTGAGCTGGTGCCAGACTCTGGCCTGATCTTTACCCCTATTCATGCCTGTCCTTATCCTGGTCAGGTCTTTTAGATGGGCCCTGTTCATGGTGCTGTTGTGGGATCTTGGGAAGGAGGAAGTTTCTTTTGAGCACTTTAGTCCTCAGACATACCCTCTGAGCAAAAGCCTGGCTCAGAGTGACATCAGCTATTAGCTGATGGGACAGGGCACTGTCGGCTGGAGGAGGTGGAGATTGAATGGGAGTTTGAAGGGATTCAAATGGATGGTGGTGAATGTCTTAGGCCTGGACTCCAGGAACTCTCCCACCACCCCCTCATTGTCACCAGTTGTCCTTCCTCCTTGTCTTGTTCATGGACATAGCTTGAGTGCAGGATAGTCAAGGAAACTCTGTTTTGAGTCTCTACACAGGAGATTCTGATCTCTGACTCTTGTCTCTTCCTTAGCTGGTGATGGAGTATTGCCTGGGCTCAGCTTCTGACCTTTTAGAAGGTAAGTGACTCATTGGCCAATAAGTGGAGAAGGGAGAAGAACAGAAGAGCCATAGGGGAATGGTTAAGGGGAGCTTATTCCAGTCCCATACTTGCGCTCCCTCAAATTGAAGTTCTTCCCTCACTTTCCAGTGCACAAGAAACCCCTTCAGGAGGTGGAGATTGCGGCTGTGACCCACGGGGCGCTGCAGGGCCTGGCGTATCTGCACTCCCACAACATGATTCATAGGTATGAGCAGCACCGGCGATGCCTGGGAGGGAAGTACTATCTGCATCACCTGTCACTTAGCTGGGCTGTAGTCCTCCTGGAAGCTCTGGCCAAAGCCCCTGTCTAGCTTCCTGAGACATATGTCTCATCCCTGTACTTTGCCTCTGACAGGGATGTGAAGGCTGGAAACATCCTGCTGTCAGAGCCAGGGTTAGTGAAGCTGGGGGACTTTGGCTCTGCGTCCATCATGGCACCTGCCAATTCCTTCGTGGGCACCCCATACTGGTGAGTGAGAGAGTGGTGGTGAGTGGAGAGAGCTCCCAGGATATTGGGAGTAGGCATGATAAGGTCTCAGTGGGTTGATTCATCTCTCTCTCCTGACCATTCTCCCAGGATGGCACCCGAGGTGATCCTGGCCATGGATGAGGGGCAGTATGATGGCAAAGTAGACGTCTGGTCCTTGGGGATAACCTGCATCGAGCTGGGTAAGAACATCCTCCTCTCTCCTCCTTCATCCTCTTTTTCACTCTTTTCTTTTACTTCCCAGACTACCCCATTCTCCTAGGGATGGGATCCCAGGCCTCCAACTTCCTGTCTGTTGTGACTCT